AGGCCTTAAGTCATTCTACTGTGTTAAAAATAGATAAATTTCGATATTTTGTAATAACATTTTTATTTAAAAACGTATCGATTTGAAATTAAGATAAAATGTAGACCTTATTAGTGGCAATAAATCCACGTATTATTTTTTTTAGATTTTAAAAATCGCCATAGATGGAGCTAAAATTAGTTTTATTTATAAATTTTAAATTTTTACAAGTTTACTACTTTTGATCATAGTAGGCATCATATACTTTTCTCTATGGTAACCTACCATTGCACAGTGTTTCAATTCTCGAAAATATCGGCAAAACCTCAAAAATTGACATTTTTTTTCAGGTAAATTTTGAGTTAGATGGGTAATTAATAACTGTCTCCATACAGTATTGAAAAATAATTATATAAAATACGTATATTTTGTCTTATACATCAGTTTAAACTTGACGCTTTCAGTTGAAGGTACTTTACACGCGATCGCTGCGGAAAATTGTTTATTGTTTAAAAGTGAATAACTTGTGTTTGGTGTGTCCGATTGTTATGCGGTTTGATGAAGGGTGATCTTCAAGGTATATAAAATTCAGATATGTATTTGTTTCTCGTAGATTTTGCTTGTACATCGGGTTATTGTAATCGACAAGATCGGTCTGTTAAAATCGCAAACATGGAATCGAGCTTTTAGAACAATGGAGCTACAAAAATTGTAATGAATTGTAAGGCATCAGTTTAAGATCCGTTAAATAGCTTAGAGTTTTGTCTATCAAGCCATCAATAAATTAGCTGCCCCAACTTGCCCCCGGCTCTTTAAAACTACATGTTCTTGGGCGCTCAGGCACGGTTGTCGTAAAAAACCTCGCGATTTTAAGCCTACGTCGCGCGCGTATCTGTGTTTTTGCTTTAAAAAATATAAGATTTTTTTTTATTTCTGAGTTGCGTTCATGACGTTTACTCGATTCACTCGGATTTAACTCAAAACGTTTATTACAACAGCGGTGTCTAGACTTTCACTTGCGTAAATCGTTCGTGACAACTAGGATATTTAACACCGATTTTACATATTTAACCCACCTCTTGTAGGTGCGTTAAAACAACTCCGCATGCGCATTGTAGTGTGTTAATGACAAATTTGAATTGTGCACATGTGGTTATTTGTGTTGACAATTTTTTTAGCGAATTAAGAAATCGTTGCTAAAATATTAAGTAAAAGAAATAATACAAATTTAAAAAATACTTAGTTTAAAATCTGTTATATTTATTATAAAAATAAATATATTTTATTATATTTATAAATAAATTTTGAAAGTTTCTCGGGAGAAAACGATGGAAGATGTTTTCCATTGGCTTATGGCATCTTCCGATCAATATATTTCTAGCTTCAGAAAAATTGCTCCGAAAAAGCAAATCTTTGTCCCGCGAAGCAATAAAACTGTTGCTATCTTCTGATGGTTTCCCATGATCTGCTAATGATACAACGAGCAAATCAAGTGACGGAGATTGTTTAATATATATGTAGGTATTAAATAATATCATATAAATGTAATTATAATTAACTAAATTAAGCTATTTTATAAAAAGATGTTTTATTTACATTTTAAAAAGAACCTCTTACGGGTTTTTAATTAATTTCGACAATTTTTTGATAAAAATGTCCGCCATTTGAGGTCCACCATTTTGAATTTTGGAATTCTGATTTTATATTCATTATCAGCGACCACAAAAACCCCTGTATGGTGATTTTCAATTAATTCCGTCAATTTTTTTTTACAAATATGTCCGCCATTTTGGATCTACCATTTTGAATTTTGGAATTCTGATTCCAGATTCGTTATCAGCGACCCCAAAAACCCTGTATGGTGATTTTCAATTTATTCCGTCAATTTTTTGACAAATATGTCCGCCATTTTGGATCTACCATTTTGAATTTTGGAATTCTGATTCCAGATTCGTTATCAGCGACCCAAAAAACCTCTATATATTGATATTTTGCCGAGAATTTCGAGAATTGAAACACTGTGCATTGGAAGCATGCAATATAATTATAATTTGACAGTTTAGTTTATAAGTTGCAAATGACTGATTGCGTTTCAATTTATAAGTGTACTATAAACTCAAAAGATTAATTAATTAAAATGAATAAACTAAATAATAATTATAGACAGTGTCAGCAAGTTAGAAATTATAACCTACTTTAATTTTATTTTTTGCTCCACAACTAAGCTATTTATTTTTTACTCGATAAGCAAGCTTAAATTTTAATTCCAAACTGAGGAAAGTAATATTTACCCAATAAATAAATTAGAATAAAGATTGTTTTAGGTTGCAATCGGCTATTTAGATATATCTATATTTTTTATTCAGTTGTTTTTACATTTTTTGTAATTGGTTATTTTGCATTTTTTTATATTTAATATAATGCTATAATGGGTGTTTCTGGAGAAACGCAAACGATATGGATTTAAAATTTTAATGGCATATGCCATTTACATTTAGGGTTTTACATTTATAATAAAAACGTTATTATTGTTTGAAGTTTGCCTAATTTCAAGTGGTTTTTCTCAAGGTATTTGTTGAAAAACCCTTAAAAAATTAAATTATTTAAACAAAATTTTAATATTCCAAAAATTTCAACCCCATGTCAGCAAACATAATAACAAAAAAATTAGAGGCTATTTTTGATTAACGTGCATTTAGCAAAATTTTAACGAAACAAATTAATATTCTTGAAAACTATTGACTTTAGATATTGTCTAAATCAAATTGTATATATATACAATTTGATTTAGACAATATCTAAAGTCAATAGTTTTCAAGAATATTAATTTGTTTCGTTAAAATTTTGCTAAATGCACGTTAATCAAAAATAGCCTCTAATTTTTTTGTTATTATGTTTGCTGACATGGGGTTGAAATTTTTGGAATATTAAAATTTTGTTTAAATAATTTAATTTTTTAAGGGTTTTTCAACAAATACCTTGAGAAAAACCACTTGAAATTAGGCAAACTTCAAACAATAATAACGTTTTTATTATAAATGTAAAACCCTGTATGTTTTAACATAATCAACTAGAACATTAAATAATCTTTCGATTGTTATTATAATAACTGTTTCCTAAAGTTAAAATTTCAGAGACATTTAACAATTTCTAATATTTTCAATACTATTTTGTATCAAACCTGTAAAATGTGGTATAATGTGACAGTATCCATGGTTACCACCAAATCAGTCATTGTTTAAAATTAATTAAAATATTTGATTGAAAAATTAATAACTCAAAAAATATTGACTTTAGGTATAGGATATGGTATAGGGTCATTCCACGATACTCGGGAATTTTTGTCCCGCCCGTCACAATTAAAAATTGTGAGTAAAAACTACACGTTATAAAATTTATTTAAAAATATTGTTTTATTATGCTTTTAATAAGATATAAGCACAATAAAAATAATTTTATAAAATATTAATTTTATAACTTGTGGTTTTTACTCACAATTTTTAATTGTGACGGGCGGGACAAAAATTACCGAGTAACGTGGAATGCCCCTATAGCCATTTTACTCAGAATTTGATGTCAATATAAAAAATGTAAAAATATATGAGGTGTCCTGTTTAAAATACCAAAGTTAAAGACATTTCCGGTAAAACAGGAAATATTATTTTGTTCAAAATAATTTAATTTTAAATCGATGTCTTCTAACGGACTACGTACGTGAAACACCCTGTATATTAAACGTCATTTATGTGTTATGCTATACTTAATTATTAATAAAAGATACAACAATATTTGTTTAAAAATAACAAAATGTACTAAACTAAACATTTATGAATACTGCTACTGCTAATTCAAATCTGATCCTGGCCACAGAAACATCATTTGCATAAAAAAGTTAATATAACAAATAATAGTCAAATATCAATAGTTTAACGTGTTATTCTCAAATATATAAAACAAAGTTGCTTCTTCGATTATTTACCCTTTAAAAATTGTTAAATTTTAAACTAAATCTTTACCGCGCTGTACGTTAAAATCTAAACAAAATTGTCATTAGTAAGATCTACATTTTGTATAAATTTCAAATCGGTACGTTTTAAAATAAAAAAGTTATTTAAAAAAAAATTAAATTTCTTCATTTTTAACACAGTGAAGAAAAAAATAAAAATAAAAACAAAAACAAAGTTGTCAATGGACGAGATTTTTTTTTTTGAAAAAAAGAAATAAGGCAAAAAAGTTTCAATCGATTTCTTGAACCCTTGCAAATCGACTGTTCGATCCTTTCGCGAAACCGTAGTTAAGGCCATTCCAAAACTTTTCTTAAGAGTATTACAAAATAAATGTGCATTTTCAATAGTCATTTCACAATCTTGAGTATTTTTAAATAGAAAATATTTAAAATAAAATTTAACTTTGTTATTTACCGACTAAAAATAGTGCTCAAAATGTAAAAAAAAAATTAAAGAGTTTTCTCAAGTTACGTTAAAATTAGACTACCGTCTTTAATTAACTTGAAAACTGATCCAGGCTTGCCATGCTTTAACAAAATTAAATCCTAGCAAGCTATTTTGATTCCGACCAAGGCAACTTTTCCCGCTTACTTTCCACCTATAAATCCTAATTTATACCTTTAAAATTAACAAACTGTCCGACTTTAATATATTAAATATACAGGGTGATTTATAAGTACTGAAAAAGTACTTGAAAAATATTGTTAATGTTATTTGCCTATTTTTTTATTTCTTCTTCTTTTCTTCAAAATATAAAAAAAAATCACTAAATTTTATATAATTTAATCCCGGCGAATTCGCCATTTTTGCAACTAATGGTATAGTAATATAACCAAACCAGCCGAACCAAACAAAACACCCAGACGCGTAATAACTCATTCTTATTGGTCGATTCTGAGGGAGTGATTTAAATTGTGTGTTCTTATTGGTCGGTTCGAAGGGTGTGACTCGGATTGTGTTTACATTTAGTTCGGGTTAAATTTGAATACACTTGAGTATATTTTTATTTCTTACCTTTGTTTGTTTCATTGTTATCTTCTTCAGTTTTATTTTCGTAATTTTCTTGAATTTCTTTATTTTTCTTTTCTTCTTCAGTTACAGGCACTGATTCTTTACTAGTATTACACCCCATTTCACCGCACTATTTTTGTATATTGGTTATATTTACGAACTGCACTGGTTTCCTATGTAAATAAATCTAAAACAAAGACAAATATTTGGTCTACTTTACGAGCATGAACTTCGATTTGTAAAACTGCATATTTTACATAAACATGTATTTTTCTATTTTCTATATATATATTTTATGGTTTTTATGTAGTTTCTATAGAAACTAAAACGAATACTGGAAGGTTATGTGCTAATATGATTTTGCTATCCCCAGTTAATGTTTATTTACTTCAAAAAGGTTTTGTACGTTAAATATTATTTTATTATTCAATTTAAATTCAAATAGAGATTCAGAAAGTGCTCCAGATTCCTTCCATAAGGAAATAAAAGAAATTTGTAGGGACATAAAATATATTAAGGCGAATTCTTGAAATACTTGTGTAGATCTATTGAGTGGACAATGAAAATAAAAATAAATAGAAATATATATAGGAATTTTTTTATTTGTTAGATACCCAAGTATAAGAAATTAAAAAAATAATTAACAAAAACAACTTTCCTAAATTAATTGTTTACATACCCTAATCTAAACAAAAACAGTTGACAAAACAGGGTTTACTAAAAAAACGAACTTAATGAAATCTTTTCCGCCTCACTTTTTCCGGTATAAAACCCGAGGAGGTAAACGAGCTCACGTTATTAAAAATCAAGTGTGCTTTGCTATAAAGTAGGAAATTAAATAACAAGGATAATTGATCGCTTTATAAACACCACTCGAAGATTTCCCTTTGATCTTGAGAAGTTTTCTATTTTTGCCGAGGGAAAACTCATTAGCAAACAATACAAAAAATGAGTCATATCTGCACCCACCCTGCGATATTTTTGTTTTTATCTCTTTCGTAAAATAAATTTACTTCAAGTTATTAAAGAACCAATAAAACTTTATTACGAACTTTTTTTAATAAATGAGTCATCGTAAAAACGACATCTATGTTTCATGGTTTTATACTATACACTGTTAAACGGTGGCAGCGTATTAATATAATTAGGGGCCGTCCATAAATGATGTCACACACTTAGGGGGGTCCCATAATTTGTGACACTTTGTGACAAGTGGGGGAGGGGGGTCAAAAATATTAAAAAAATGTGTGACATCATTTATGGACGGCCCCTTAGGTTTGAAGACCCTTTTTTACTTTGGATAGTTTACAATAAACCTAAGTTTTTAATCCCGTTCGACTTTTAAAATCTGACAACACTGCCCGAGAACAGCTATACACGATCAAAATTTAAAAAAAATGTTTTTAATATTAGGTAGGTAGGTAAGTACTCATCTAGTTGGCTTATTTTTATTTCAACATATATTTTATAATTAATTTGACCTACCTATAGGTATACCTACATAATAAAAATAAAATTGCTGTTAAGAATCAAGGTAGACTATACCGTTAGGTAGGTAGGTAGGTACCCAAAGGGGGTTTAAGGATTTAAACCCTCACGAAATGAGTAAAACACTTGTGATTTTTTATTAATCTTAACAAGCTAATGGTCTTTATAATGAACCCCCAAATTTTTGTTTCTACGTACCTAGGTACGCATCTGATTCATTTTTACTGACTTTATGACCTTATGTAAGACATTTGCCAAATTAGTGAAACTAAAATAGATGGCGTGCCCATGGGAGGGAGTTCGGGGGTTCAAACCCCCCCAAGGCTCAGAATTTTAAAACAAAAAAGTGAAGAAATTTATTTTTGTATAACCAATCTTGGATTTGTTCTCTCCCCCTACCTTTTACCACCCCTTCCATACTCTTAACCCCCCCAGACAAAATTTCTAGGCACGCCACTGAGTACCTATATCACCTTTTTGACAAAAAAAAATGGGCAATGATTCATCCTAATTACTTACAAAATATTAAACATCATCAACAACATAACAATATAATAAATTCAATGTATTTATGAAATATCAATATTTTCTCTATAAAAAAGTGATTAATATTATTTACGATATTTTAAATGAAATTCCAACGTTTTATCACGTACTACAATGTATTAACCGTAAACACATTTGTTTTATTTATAACATGTTTACCATAATTTTGACACACCTCGTATAGTTAAAACAAACTTTCCCAAATTTCCCTTTTGTTTGAAAACTTACCAAATTACACACAAAGCCGAATTTCTTAAAAATAGCACACTAAACCACTATTATAAACACTTTCGTTTCTTTACTGTCAAAATCAAGACAAAAGAAACGAATTTTCCGACTTGGGATTTGTTGTTCCGGTAAAATCGTCGCACGAGACTGACTTCTGGTGGTTTTCCCTGAATTTTCTACGATTCGCACACCCCTTGTTGCGCGAATACAACACAGCACGGGGGTGGAACTCATTCAAAAACTCACGCGGGGCATGCGCAACAGGAACACACGACTTCCATTAATTCAACATGTATTTTTACTAAACTTATGATTTAAATTAACATTCTAGAATTATCGCTCATTTTTGCATTAAAACCTATTTAATTTTATGTTTATTCGATAAAAAAAAAATTAATATTGCGCCTGTGAACTGGGCAACCCAATATACATGTTGATAGTAACATAACCTCACTTAAAAGTTATACAATTTATTTTATAAATAGCTAAGTTTGTTTTAGTTTTACAATGAACATAATAAAATAAACGTGCTGTGAAGTGATTTTTTAATTTAATGAATATGTAAGTTTATATTTTAATATTTTTATTTCAGTTTTAAAGTTTTGGTTCCAAAGTTTACTTTAAAAATTATAATACCAATCTAAAAATTGAGTTAAGGTATAAGATTTTAATAGTCATGTATTCTTTTTAGATTTGACACCTTTTTACAAGAAAATGGCAAACAATAAAAATATTACTTTTTTAACAATAATTTCAAAACTTTTATATCCAAACCATCACCCTTTTTGGTTTTTATTTTACATGTATGGACTTTACTATAAAATAAACAAAAGACGAGTAACTTATAAGTTCAAACCTGCCTTGATTGAAATTATAAATAAACACTGCAATAAATACAAAGATTTAAACAGTTGTGTTTTAGTAAATGAATCTAATTTATTAAAATGTGATAAATGGTTGAAATTAACAACAAATAATGATAACAACACAAGAATTGTAAGTGTTATTCCTGTAAATAATTTAGAAAATGATGTTTTACTGGGAAGTAATGTTTTACTGAGTAATTTATTAAAGAACAGCATTGATAATATTAATGAATTTAAATTGAAAAGTATTAAAGAACATAATATTAAGTTTGCGTCTGAAGTTGAGTTATCATTAATCAGCTCTTCCTTTGAAATTAGCAATGCTGTAGTCGATACACTTATAGAAAATTATTTTTCGACCCCCAAAATAATTTATAAAGGTGATATAATAGAAATAAACCTTAAATTGTTCGGAGAAAAAATGTATTATTTAAATACTAAAATAAATAATGTTTGTAATGTTTATTTTAAATGTAAAAGAGTGATTTTTGACAATAAAGAAGTTACAAGTGGTTTTTTCTGTGTGATTGGGGAAACTGCAGTAAAACAATCTATAAACTTTCAAAGTTTTTTGCCAAAAAAAGTTTCAGAGGTTGTGAATTATAAAAATAATATTGTTGAGGTGCCTTTTTGTCCCTATGGTTTGCAGGAGGATTTTGATAATTTGAAAAAGTCTGTTAAGCCTTTTTTGGGCAAAAGTAAGCTAAAATACTTTCAAAAGAATTTATACTGTAATTATTATTTTTAGGAAAATTAAACGTAAATCCTGTATTTTTGGTACAGGGAAATAAAGGTGTGGGGAAAGAAATTCTTTTGGAGAGTTTGGCATTATTTTTTGGTTTAAATATTTACAAAATAAACAATTTGGATTTATCGGCAAACATTTATGCTCAAAATGAGCAAAAAATTAAAAACACTTTCTTTAGCGCCAAATTGTCAGCACCTTGTATAATAACTATACTTAATTTTGAGGTAAAAATTATAAAACTTATTTTTTCGTAAAAAAATAGTTTAAAAATGGTTTTTTTTAGAATTTTGGTAAAAACAATGAAGGCCAATTCGACGAACGCATAATAAGTTATTTTTCCAACGAATTAAATTCTTTATTTGAAAACAATGTATTCCCCATATTACTATTTTGCTGCAGTAATGAAAAAAACATCCCGTCTGAACTGCAACGTATATTTTTGGAGACTTTTACAATTTCGTCTCCGAACGATGTTCAAAGAAAAGATTTGCTAAAATGGATTATGGATAAAAATAAAATTAATTATAAAGTTAACTTGGATCATGTCGCGAATAAAACGCATGGATTTTTGTTTGAAGATTTAAAAGCTTTGGTGTATTTTAGCAAAAATAATGCAGGATATAATGAGAAAACGGATTGTGATAAGGAGATTTTAAAGAATGAAGATGTTATTAAGGCCATAGGTATATTATTTTTGCCTTACTGTTTATTAACTGGTTTAATTGTCGTATTTTCAAGATTATATGCAATCAAACTACAATAAGAGTCTGGGAGCACCAAAAGTACCTAAAGTGAAATGGTCAGATGTGGGGGGTCTAAGTGAGGTAAAAGACGAAATTATAAAAACAATAAATTTGCCATTAAAACATCCAGAACTTTTAAAAAATTCAGGATTAAAACGATCTGGTAAAAATTTTGAAATGTTTTAAATATTTATTTTACTATTTTTTATTACGTAGGGATTTTATTATTTGGACCTCCTGGTACAGGTAAAACTTTGATAGCCAAAGCTGTGGCTACAGAATGTTCTCTATGTTTTCTGTCTGTGAAAGGTCCAGAATTGTTAAATATGTATGTGGGACAGTCTGAAAAAAATGTTAGAGAAGGTATGATCAATTGTTTTGTTTAGAATTATTTTAGAAAGTCATATATTTTTAAATTTTTGGGAAGAGTATTTTAGTGGGTCCGTTTTTTGTCAATATTTTAGGATATTGCATAACTATAGGTATATGGGATATTGCTGCCTTGGCAACATGGGAAATTAAAAAATAAAAAGAGTTCTTTTAAATGTTATATTTAGGGCGCGGATTATATGCATAGGTGATTTTCACTATATTTTGCTTTATTTACAATATTTTTGATGGAAAACTGACTATCCTGAAACATTTAAATACGACGTAAATGTTTTTTATTTTCAAGTTTCCGAGAAAATATATAAAAAATAGGCCAGCATGCCAGGACAAAAATTAATATATTGTTATTTTTTAATGTTGCAAACTTAACACGTTATTTTCCAAGCTTTTTATGTTATTTTATGCATATAATTTGGGTTCTAGTTATAATACATTTAATACAATTTATGTTTTGATATTTAAATTATTTTGTCACAAAACTTATATAGATAATATCTTTCTAATCTTCTTCCAAATATAAACAAAAAAATAATGTTTCATTTAGTTTTTGAAAGGGCCAGAGAAGCATCGCCCTGCATAATATTTTTCGACGAGCTGGACTCGTTGGCCCCAAATAGGGGGATGTCGGGGGACTCTGGGGGCGTAATGGACAGGGTGGTGTCTCAACTATTGGCCGAGATGGATGGTCTTAATGAAATAGCCACCATATTTATAATTGGTGAGTGGCATAAAAAAGTGCTAGAATTGACATTATCCTAAGGATAATAATGTTCTTAATTGTAAATAATTGTTTAGGTGCCACTAATAGACCGGACCTGGTCGATCCTGCTCTCCTGAGGCCTGGTAGATTTGATAAATTGCTTTATATCGGCCCTTGTACCGACCCTATTTCCAAACTTTCCGTATTAACGGCTTTAACCAGAAAGTAAGTCTTGATTTTGATTTAGTGCCCAATGCTTAAATGATAGTTTAGTTTTGTTAAAATGATAAATATAGTAAAACTAATATACTATACAAACCTCTTTGTTGCGTTTAGGTTTAATTTTTCAAAGGATGTGGACCTGGAAAAAATTGTCAAGCAGTGTCCTGTTAATATAACTGGAGCTGATTTCTATGGGATTTGCTCCAATGCTTGGAGCGCAGCTGTTAGGAGGTTAATACAAAAAAGTAAGTTTTTTTGTTTTAGTGCTGCTTATTAATTATAATTATCCAAAAATGTAATAGTATATTTATTGATTTATAACGCTTTCTTGTTTACTAAAAAGTGATGATATTAGATGCTCCCTGAAATTGTTTTTGACATTTTTATAGTACCCACTCAAAATATAGAAATCAGGGTTTTTAAAACAATGCTTTTAAAGGCAATGGGTAATTTTAGTAGTTTTACGGTTTCAGAAAATATACATATACAATAGTGTTATCCAAAAATTGTAAGTTTTTAATGATATGTCTTCACAAGTTTTCTTTTAATTAAGTAGTACAAATATGTTTTTGAATTGGATAACATTTAGAGGTCGCCCATAATTAATAGAATAAAACACTAAAATCACAATCTACGACACAAGGGATGCTTTTGATGGCTCTGAAAACAGTTTCCGACTAGGCAAAGAATATGCTGCATCTGTTCTTTGTTGTTGGTCAGTAAATAGTTGTATTTTTAATAAGACTGATTCCCGGTTCGGCATTATCATTAACAACTCTCATCTTACAACATTTAGCATGAAATTCTTAGAAAAACGGATCACATGGCCAATTCTGAGGTGGTACTTTTCGGAAATTTTTACTATTGCACTTTCCTTTAATAATAAGGACAATAAAGAAGAAGCTGGTTATTTTTGTAACAATTTTATAATATAATCATTTTCATAATTTAATGAATTCAATGTGGACAATCAGGTAATTTTGGCCGCTTTAGGTTTTTTACCATCATTTCTTTAGTTTAAAAGCTAGCAGTGTACGTTTTCTTCACCGATCTTCTTGTTTGGATAACTTATCAAAATACCTAAGAGCTGAATATCGTTATAAATAGTGTGCTCTATTTTCAAGTAAAGCTTTACCCCAATATCTCATATAAACCAAGATCACGCTTTCAGTGTTATTGGAAGAAAACAAAGATGGTTGTGAAATTGTCCCAGAGATCTTTACTTTTTCTTTCTGCATATTTACTTCTGAACTTATTTTTGTTTTCTTCCCGCTGTCTTTTTCTATCCTCCCTTGCCATAGTTTTAAGGTTACACTACTCATGCTACTTAAAAATTCTTCTCTTTGCTTTTTAAAGAAAACTTTGTCGTCAACCTTCTTTATTTTAGTCAGAGCGCCTCTCGCAGCAGCATCTAACGAATCTTCGAGATCACTTCTGAACATATTCCCACTCGTCGATAAGGGGGGGGGTAATGGGGGAATTACCCCTCAAGATTATCTTGGCAATATAGAAATTACTACAAATATAATTTATGAATGCAAGTCGCCCTCTATGAATAGTTTTTAAAGTGTGGCATAATAAAAGAAAAATAAAGACTTGGCTTCGGGCTTCTAAAGGTGAAGAAAGATTAGTAGGATTAGCATTGTTATAGAGATATAAAAATAAATATTGATAAGGTTTTTGATCGTTTTGCAAAAATTAAAAAAGACATTATAATTTGAATTTTAAATTTAAAAAGATTACCTAGGTACTATGTATGTTTATGAGATATTTAGTTTTGGTACCTTATAATCCATTTCCCCAATATACAAAAGCAAATAAAGAATAAGGAGTTTTGCAAAATTATTTTCCTTATAGGCCAAAACACGCAAAATTTTCCCACTAAAAACTTTAGTTGTTTCCGATTTTGATGAAACTTTTGCTAAATCATTGTCCTATCGGACTACTTTTTGCAGATATACAAAGAAGTACTGTATTTAAAAAAATATCGTTTGCTTCCGAATATTCTGTTTGTCCTATAAAAGTAAAATAGTTTATGTTGAAATGTTTTAAGTTATAACTAAATTGTTTTAAGTTATAATGTTTTAAGTTATAAATACATTTTAAAATTTTAATTATTAAATTATAGTATTATTTTGCGTAGGACATGCAAATATTCAAAATGGAATAGGTTATTAATTAGGTGTTTATTTTTCGTGTACAATTTACATTAATTAACACTTAAATAATAAACTACCGATGTACCAATGATTGAAAACAAATTTACCTATCAGTTATTTACTTGGCGGATCGAACAGAGCCAGTCGATTGCCCGATCCCTGTGCGTTTTAACGCTTTTATTTTCGAACTGGTTTCGAGATCCCATTTAAATATATACATCAAAATTTAGGGAAAGGAATAGGCTTTTTTTAGTACTTATTTTGATTTTTTTTTAATAATATTAAAAAAAAATCAAAATGGACCCATTTTGAGAAAAAAGTAAATATATTTTTATATCAATTTTTCTCAGCCAAAAAATTTTGTTTCGCTTTTGAAACCACCTCTATCTTAAAGCACAAAAAAAAAGATATAAGATATATTATTTTTTGATTTAAAATAAAAGTCATTTATATTTTTTTATCAAACAAAAGACTCTCACAAAAGAAAAAGAAAAATTTCAAGACCCTGTATATCTGCAACTCGTCAGTCTTTTCCGCTGACCTTTTGCTTAATTAAAGTAGACTTATAGGACAATGATTTAGCAAAGTTTCATCAAAATCGGAAACAATTTAAGTTTTTAGTGGGAACACTTGGCGTGTTTTGCCCCTTTAATGTTACCCCCCCAAAAGAAAAAATATCGACGCCCTTTGACGGGTAAGGTGCTTGTTAAGAGCTAAATATCGGTTATACAGTTTTGATAGTTATCTTACACATGGACAATTCGCTGCGTACATCATTGGCAAGTATTGTCAGGTGTTTAAAACTAACTGACGAGAAAATTGGCTGTTCGAGAAGGCAGTTGGAGCATATCTCGTCGACATTCTGATACATATAATGAGTAAAGCATGAACACAGATTAAATATTCTTTTCTCTTTGTACCTTAGTAAAGATTTAGTAAAATACTGGAAGAATTAATAAAAATAAATTAATTTTGGAACAAAAATTTGGTATGTAGGTTAGGGTGCTTCATTTTAGAGCGACATTTTTTTTTCAAGTCCCACCTAAAATCTTCTAACCGGTCAGAAAACTTTGAAAAATTTTGAGCTATTACAAAGCTCTTCATCTTTATTTTGAGCCGTTGCTATTTAATTTTTAAATGTTTCCCTTTAAAACCCATTAAAAAGCAATTTTTTTATTCTTTTCTCCTTACGCTCGTACAGTAAGAATATTTTTTTCAAATTTCGGTTCTAAAATCTTTATACTGGATGAAATTATCTTCAAAAATGTTTATTTAAGCAAGTCTGTAAGTTGAATATGCTCTTCACAAATTGCCGTTCTACTCGAAAATCTTCTAAAATAGCAATAAATCGTATTTGGAGACTAAACTATTGATTGTAGATATAAAACGTAAAAAAACTCACTACAAAATTGTCATTTATGCTTTTTATCTACAATCAATAGTTTAGTCTCCAAATACGATTTAGGTACTGGTATTTTAGAAGATTTTTTAGTAGAACGGCAATTTGTGAAGAACATACCATGGACATTTTTGAAGATAATTTTATCCTGTATAAATATTCTTAGAAATTCGGTAAAAATATTCTTACTGTACGAGCGGAAGGAAAAAAAATAAGACTTGTGGAGCAAGATACAACAATTTTTTTCTTCACCCTTAACTGGTCATTTTTTTGCTGGCCGCAAAAATAAATACGTTGCCAAAATAACTCATTGCCCCATTGCAAAAATTGAAAATTGAAAAAATCATAATATTGTTTATTTCAGACAAGAACTCTACAATGGAACACATAACCCACAAAGATGTCCTAGTTGGCGAACAAGATTTTAAAACAGCAATAGAAAACGTCAAACCTTCAATTAACAATGAAGATTTAAAATATTTCGAAAAACTAAAAAAAGAACTTGGTTCGAATTGTTAAGTTTTATTATTTATTAAAATATATGTTGTTACCGAAATTACTATTATATTCTAAAGCAGTTAAAACAAAAGGTAAGTTAAACACATTTTATTTTTGTATTGTATTTATTTATAAATTATTCCGGTATAAAAATTGCATTGTCTTTAGACATAGTTAAACATTTAAAATGCTAGAAATATTTAAAAAATCAAATCACACTATCCAACATTTTATCACAGCCTGTTTAAATATAGTAACCCATTTTTGTAAACGCTTTTTGAGAATTTGTTCCCCTTTACTTTCAATGGGTGAATATATTTTGTATACCTTATATACAGAACACATACACAAATCATTTCTTGTGTAAAAGAAATGTTTGTTTTATCACATTCATACTTATTGCTATTTAAATAAGTCTTAATTATAAGTATCACGATAATAAGAGTTTTTTATAATTAATCCAGATACTGGCAAAAAATAATAAGACTAGTTTTTTTCTAAACAAAAAAAAACGTATTATTTTGGGTGATTTTTAGGAGTAGGGTTGATTTGAAGGTTTTCCATAATTGATGTAGGAATTGCACCAATTAAGGGCATCTTCTTCGTTTTTACAGCACATCGGGTACACTATTGGCGATTTTGTTTGTTTTGCGCACCTTTGGCAGATTTCTATGACTTCAACCTGAAAAGAAACATAAATTAATGTTTGAGTCCTAAAATAGGGTTTACTTGTTTGTGATAGCATTTACAAACATATATGTTAGAACTAATATCTTTGGGGTCAAAAGTAACCCCAAATAAAAAACGGCTGCATAAAAAAATATTTTTATTTTTTCTCAATTATTGAGCCTTTTAAAAATAGTTATAATTATATAATTGTAATTGTAATTAAAAAAACGACATAAAAATCAGGTGTAAAAAAATAATTTAAAGTTTTTTCAATCAGGCTAATGTGAGTTTACTATAGATCGGTCGGGGTCATATTCGACCCCACGATAGTTACTACTTCTACTGTAGTTATGGGATAACGAGGGACGGGATTAATTCTTCGACTGTCTGTGCAGTAGACAAATTGTGTACTTACATCATCCTGTATGCACCTATCCTCATCTCCATTATTATTTGGCCATTCAAACGGCACGCCTGGCCTACACGTCGCCAGCTTCAGCAGAAACAGCGCAAATACTAAATTAACGAAAATCATCTAAAAAAAAAATAAATTCCGTTTAAATTGTATCCTTTATCTCACCACTCATTAAAACTAATTAAATGTAATTGTAATTTTGTATTGATAAACAAACTGGTCAAAAAAATACCGAGATTCGAACTTTCAAGTTTCGTTTTGTTTCAAGAGATAAAATTATTCGACAATTAAATTAATTAAATGTTATTTATGAAAACCAAATACCAAATGTGGAAACTTCTCACATTTTTTGGTCTTAATAACCCCGTTGACTCTGCAGAGAGATAAGTCTCTTGAGAACGGCAAATAAGTAAATATGCCACTTAATTAATCGTGTACATATAGTTATTTATGTGATTAGGTTAAGAAGTAATTCTTCTTGTGCTGAGCTTAATGCAGTCGAGTAGCGAAAGGCTACAATAAGCGAAGCACATTTTAATTTATTAAACGATACATAAAACGTAAAATTATGATAATTATTATTAAAAGTAGAAAGTGAGGTTAGATAATCTGACAGTATTAAAATTTTGTCCAAAGTTTATAAATAGGTAATCCATTTTTATCAAAAATCCTAGGGACATATATTGACATGACATATATTTACAAGTTAAATTTGTTGCTAACTCCATCTGACAACCCTTGACCAGGCTGAAATGTTATTGTATTTTGATTAAGTAGGTATTAAGTTGTTTAAAAAATTAACTTTGCAGACAAATTAGAAACAGGTAACAAAATACGCGATGTATTTACTTTTGTATATTCAAAATTGGATAATTATTAAAAAAATACAACAATTTTACAAACATTTTTAAAAATCACGTCTTGTCCTCAAAATAACATGCTTTTCCTTATCAATCATTTACACCTTATCAGTTATATATTAGTTTTCTAGACATGTAAATTATAGATGTTTTAATTGCGTTATTACTATCTGTATGCACAAGCATGGTTTAAATATGTTGGTTTAAAAAATGTTTTTTAAGTGAATTTTCTACAAAACCTAGATTGATAGAGTCTAAGGCATCTACATTTATAAAATTATATATTGTTCAAAACTTTTAGCTATTTTAAAGGCAAAAAGGAAAAAGTATCAGAATTAATATTATTAACTATTATCCAACAAATCTTAAGTAACCTTTGTGTATATGTACAACTTTTTAATTAATTTACTAATACTTAATATATAACTTAAAATAACAAAAACCATGTGGTTTTAAACATAACACGATTTAATATAAAAAAGTATGTAATTTATTAAACATTTTGTAAAAAATACACCTGTGATTGATTGTATTTAAAAATCGCTTGAGAACACTTTCACAAAACACAAGAAAAATATACATACCTGGTTGAAAATACCCATTATTAATTGTTTAATTATTAATTATCCAATTATAAGTAAATAAACACAGTAGTACACCGTACACATGAACTCGTTGAAAGCTCGATTTAAACTGATTTTTCACGTTCGAAATGAATTTCTTATATATGCTAGATTTTTGGTGCCAAGTCCATGCCTTAATTCTTGATTAGGATTTCTGAGACGAAGAGGAAGGAGCGTGCCTTTTGGAGGAGTGGGGAGGTGCGCCTTCTTCTCTTCGACAAGGAAGTTCCCAATTGTTTTGACCTTTTTATCAGAAGAGAAAACAACTTGCCTCCAGACGAACTTTTGTTAGTAAATATTTCACGTTTAAGGAATTCCTATATCCAAAATTAACGTTATGGTTTAATTAGTTTATAACCGTTGTTATTGTTAATTAATTATAAAATGTTTGACTTAAACGTGAAAAATCAATCTTGCAAGTCTAGACAACTGGCCTCAAAAATTGTCCAACATATCTCAACATTTAAAAGAAATGCCATGGCACCTGAAATTTGGTAAAACGAATGTTGTTTTGACACGATGTAGTCACATCCCATACTTGACGTGATATTTTTGGGACACCCTGTATGATTTGTTTTTGGCATAACCTTTCAATCAAACTTATGTAAGCTATTTTCGAAAATAGTATTTATCAAATTATGAATTAGAACGCAAAAATAATAATGTATTATAAGCACAAATAAAAAATAACACAACAAAAACAATTTTTGAAAAAATATAATTTATTCTTATTGACGAATGGTTTTAAATTAATTTAATTAAATTGAAAAAATATCTGTTTAGATCTTTAACCAAATTTTATTTAAATTACACAGTGCATGCAGTCACGAAGTGGCTACCCTGCACCCAGCAAATATACAATTACTGAAAATTATATTTTTAAATTGTTGATAAATTGTTTTTTTTATTTTTTAAACAATTTAGTATTTTTAACAGGTTTTTCTTAACATTTTTCTTGTCTATTTGTTTGGTCGTGTGTTTGTTACAAATTTCGCAACTGATTGAGCTGAAATTTTGGCCCTGGTGACAATCTTAATATTGTAATATACATATAAGTAATTAAAGTTTATGTTTTTACAAGGTGACCCACGCTTGACATAAAAGTTGTAAATAACTCTTTATAAAATATTACAAATTAAAAGTATACATTCAAAAGGTATTCAACATTTCCTACAAAAATAAGTTAGCCATGCCATTCTACCAGAAACACGATTTTCTAAAATCCATTACCATAAACAGTTCTTCAGCCGTAATTTTCGTCCAAAATCTAGCATTATATGAAAAGGCAGACTTTTTCTTTGGACGAATCAGGTTGCTGGTGTTTAGTCACGTGAGCATGCTTGTTTACAACAACATTAAATATTTGTATATAATATATAAATATATATAATATATATTTTAGTCAGGGACTGAATTTCGCTTTATTATAAATTTCGAAAAAGTGAGGTTAAATCCGTCAAATGTCAAATATTTATGAATTAAAATTGGTGTTGGTGTTCGTCGTAGATAAAGTATAGTATGCAACTTGTTTTATAAACTTCTCTTGACGTTTTTATTAAACACTCAAGCTTCGCTCGTGCCTAATAAAACTCGAAATATAATTAAGGTAACCAACTTTCTAAAATAAAAAACCAGGACACAGCATGCCCCTCCTCGCCCTTCCAAGAAATAAAGAAAATTTATTTTATTTAATGTTTATTATTTGAAACAAAGATGTGCTAATACCGTCAATATTAAAAAAAATACCCTGAAGGTACTCCCAAAAATTCAGATTTTTAAATTAATTTTCAACCTGAGCGCCAAACACTTTTAATAAAAAAAATTATAACAAATCCTAAAAAAGTGGGAAAAACTCATAATTTAAAAAAAATTCAAACGAGGTTTTTTCTTACTTTTTAACTATCCTGAAGGTACTCCCAAAAATTATAAATTAATTTTTAACCTAAGCCTCGACCACTTATAAAAATAATAATTGAGAAAAAGTCATAATTTAAAAAAAAAAAAATTCAAATGAGGTTTTTTTCTTACATTTTTACTCTTCCAAAGTTTTAGATTTTTAAATTAATTTTTAACCTGAGCCCCTACCTTTTTAAAAAAAATTGCTAATAACGTCAATAATAAAAAAATAGTATAAACCAGGACCAAATCTGCAAAACCAGGACAAAACCAGTACACATTTAAAACCAGGACACATTAGCAAAAACAAGAACCTGTCCTGGGTAACAGGGTGAGTCATTTAACTTAAAACTTTGAAAAAATGTTTAAAATAAAAATTAAATGATTCGAGGGGGGAAATCAATCAGTACTAAAATTGGACCTCATACTCTCCTCCTTACAGGGGGAACAGGGGGTAACTTTAAAATTTCCAATAGAACATTTTTATTACAGATTCGGATCATTCGACTAAAAATAGGCAGATTTTGTCTAAAACATTTTTTCATATTTGTAATGAAAAAAAATCAATTTTGTTCGATTTTTCTTCTTATACGATTCTGCAATAATTTTTCTATAAAAATATCACTTTTTTGGTAATAATTATCTTATTAAATTAAATCTAATTTTTTAAGTACCCACGATTTTTTAACTAATATTTAAGTTTCCTTTGCTTTAAGTTTTATACATTATTTCATTCGGTGATAATAATCAATTGCGCACCATGGTTACTTTTTACCTGCCAGCATTAAATCCTTTAATTTAAAGGATTATTGTACTATTTTTAATAAAAATACCTCATTTAAGGTTAAAAAAGCATTATTTTGTCAATTAATTAATTTAATCCTAATTGAGGTATAAAAAATGGTATTTAGTTATAAATAATAATTATTATTGATGTATAAAGAAACTATTTATACATAGCATTATTTAATCAATTTAGTTCGAAGATTAATTTTCAAAAAAAAGACCTCCTTTCGTTAAGCAGTTCATAATGGATGATTTTTTAATAGTGTAATAAAAAATAGAAATGATTTTGATTTATGGAGGAGCAGGCAGGAATCTTGATGATGCTGTTAATATCTACGCTCAGCGTATTCCGGAAAAAATTCGATCACGTACCTCATTTCACCGTACAGTCAAGCAGTTTATTACAAACGGGAGTGTTCAACCGAAAAAAAGAGTTCGTCGAGCATCAGTCACAGGTGGAAATAAAAAAAAAATGTATTAGCAGCAACGGCCGCTAATCCTCATGCAAGCACACAATAATTATCTAGAGATTTGGGAATATCCCAGAGCAAATCGAACAAAATAGATTTTTTTTCATTACAGCGCCATCTATTACAAATATGAAAATATGTTCTAGACAAAATCTACCTATTTTTAGTCGAATGATCCGAATCTGCAATAAAACATAGGGTGTTTCATTGGAAATTTTAAAGTTACCCCCTGTTCCCCCTATAAGGAGGAGAGTGTGAGGACCAATTTTAGTACTGATTGATTTCCCCCCTCGAAGCATTTAATTTTTATTTTAAACATTTTTTCGTAATACGCAGCACGTGAATTGTTTATTGTCAATTAATAATATTTCAATGATAATTAATAATAATTATTATTATTATCACCCAAATTTTATTAGTCTATTAACTTGGTATTTTTACCATTGGTCACAGCTGCAAAACCAGGCGAGTGTCATTTATTAAACAAAATACTATTCTCCAATAAGGCCGCGAGTATGTTGGAGCTGTGATAAACGATAAGAGCATCGTTACTAGCGATAAACCGTGTTTTAATAGCTATTTATGCATTAAGGGCGTTATGATGATTACGCCCTGGATGCATTTACATATCTTTTATCCAAGGCGTTATGAAATAATAACAGCCGTGAAAAATAAAAGACGTTGCATCGCTAGTAATGATAGCGACGTTTATCACAGCTTCAACATACTCGTGGCCTAAGTCGAAGATTTTTGTATTTAATTCCAATATTTTAGAAATAAATGATTACAAATTTCTATCCAAACTGCGCGTTGATTGATCCGATTATTACATCCTGGTCGGTTTTTTGAGTTTTACTTAAAACTACTTGCGTGTCGTTGTTATAGATACAATCAAGAATTCTGTATAATACAGTGTCTTGCATACAACCTTGTTTTATTGGGGAAGCGAGATGTCAACCTACAATTAATCGCAACTGCCACAGCGTCTAACCCTAATAATAAACAAAAAATAAATTAATAGTTAAAAAATTATAAGAACACGTTTTAAAGAAACAAAAAGTATAAAATAATGTAATTACTTAAAATATGTGCTATTAATAAACTTGTCACTTGTTCAATGACTATGCCAAAAACGTGGGGCGCTTTGTCGAAACTTAAAAGTACATTCTTCTCAAAGAAACGTGACCAGACCAGACAGGACAACTAAAATTTTGCAAATAAACGCATTACATAAATCAATTAATTAATTAATTAATTAAGACTATTTAAAATTTCGTTACATAAAATGCCTTAAATGCAAATTTATCTTAAAACTCCATAGTAACAAAACAATTGGGTAAATTACTTTCTATAATATAAACAGAGTTTTATTTGTTTTTTTAGAATTCTGTCTGGAATTTACTCCTATTAACTTTTTATTGTGTACACACATTCGATAACATTTTATACTTTTTTTTACAATATAGCAAATTCCTTTCATTTTATGGACATGAGCTGATCATTTAAAAAATTCATGATATATCATAATATATATTATAATATATAACATATTATGTACTTATATCCTACGAAAATATATATATATATATATATATATATTAAATATTATAAACATAGGTACTACATTATAAATTTATGTATAATAATTATGTGTTACATAAGTGATCATCATTAAGAACGTGTTCATTTTATAGAAGGGTATACAAGATAAATGAATATGCTCAAGGTGTCTTTATTTTTATAAATAACAATTTAAAATAAGTGTATAGTATATTATGTATCATGTTTGATAAACGCCATTTTAGTCACGAATTATAATCAGGCACAAGCGATCTTGCGAGCGTGTGTTTAATAAAATAAGTGTTTAGAAAAGTTTATAAACGAGTTGCAGACTACTTTTTTTACAAGTATTATTAGGTA